AGAACCAGGCCAACACCTCGATTACTACCGTACACCTGAGCTGGCTGCGCGAGTAATGTTCGTGTTTTTGCGATAGGGGATAGGTGTGGCTTACTCACCGACTAGCAGGGCACTGTAGCCGTACTGGGATGCAGCCTGTTTGGCCGACACACGGAAGTAGGATTCGCTGGCGCCCTGGAGCATCCCAGTGCAGGCCAGGACCAGGACAAACGTGCGCAGACGGGCATACTTCTGGCATCCTGGGCCACGGCACCAGCCCAGACCCTTGATACCGCAATCGACGCTGTCTGGGAGGAAGAGAGGATTTTATAGATTACGTGTCGAGGCAGTCACGGAGGCACTATTTATGAGTTTCTTGGGACCCACCGTCGGGTATGTTGTTGGCATTTACAGCTATCTGCGATAGATCGGAGTTGCGCATATTTTGCGCCATATTTCTATTCGATTTCGATATGTATTTCGTTTTTGTTTTTTGCTCACTAGCTTTTTAGATATTAACTTTCTTCAATGGCCATGAATCGATGGCATCTTCACCACACCGCGCACTGACCAGACCAACGTCTATTCGAATAGCTGGATGAGAGCAAACTGAGGAGAGCTCTACCTGGGGTACACCTCTCGCCTCGCTCTCAGTGTCTGTCCGTCCACTGATAAGGCGTCCCGTTTTATCTTATCAGAGTTTATTTATGTGCTTTTTGTTTCATTTTCGTGCCTAATAGCAACTTTATTGCCGCCGCTTACGCATCGTGGGATCGTGGGGGACATGTTGCAGCAGCATCAAGCATGTATCTAAACAATTGGGATCGCTTGGAGTTAATATAAGATGGTCCCGATCTGTTCAGGAGTGAGTTCATTTTAGAAGTTTACTCTAAGTTAACCGTGGAGAAGTTCCGAGCCTTTCTACCCATATTTGGTTATATATTGACTTATTCTATTTTCCTTCTTAGGCTTAAGGCTTAGGATTAATGATGCTGCATAAATAGAGATATTACGAAGGCATCGTAGCCTAGAAATATGTAGTTATATTTTAGCTATGATTTCTGAAGCGAAAGTACTGTGAACGATATGCAAGTATCTATTTTTCATTAGAAGAAAACAAAGTCGGCCTTGAATATAGCTTACGAAAAGCCTTCAAGAAAATCTGTAAATTATATAGCCAAAGAAATTTAAGAACTGATTTCAATTTGCATCAAAATGTATCGTTGGTTGTGTGTTCTGATGATTATAAAGTTGGTCTGGGCCACTATTCCTCCCAGTACTCCACCCATGCTGATATGGGGACTAGACACGTGAGTCCTTAATAGTCACATATCGCTTATAGCTGCTTGAAATTGGTCCTCAGCAGACCCCCGCCTCAAACCATATTTAAATACATGAAAACCTTTGACTTGGTTCGGATGCTGAAACCGATTCACAAGGACTATATGATAGTGGTCTACCTGGCCACAGAGGTAACTCCTGATATAATAATCGTACGTTTAGAAAACCGACTTAACCGATCAACATTCTTGGAACTAATCCTTATAGCTAACGGCCAAAGATATAAACTGCCCTTCATGCTACCCGATGATGAGTCAGATTTTGCCCGTGCGATTCTACAGTCAGGTGGAGAAGCCCATAAGGGCATTGGACCACATTAGTCGGGTATCGATCAGTCCTGGCCTGGTTTGGCACGTTCTACCCGCGGACGGAACGGAGATTAATTTGGCGAAGGAGATTCCTTGCGAGATCGGTCGTATACACTGCTTCAACTTCGGGGATCGCAATCTGCCGGCACATGGTGGGTTCGATTCAATGGCCAAGTGCAGCAACTGATCATGCCTGGTCTACTCTCTCTTAGATGCCACAATAGCCGCCGTCTTGGATGAGCTCAAGAGTTGCCGCGTCATCCACATCTACACGGCCTTCGAGGAGGAGTCCCGAGCTCTCAAGCGTCGTAGATATTACAGCACGTCCAGCATGCGCCATAGCCACAACGAAGATACGAATGTCGTCTTCACTGGCGATGTTGGCCAAAAGGCAGATCCCACGAAACTCACCATTCTGCGACATGAGCTGGCCATCGTTGGCGTGCTAAAGATCATTCTGGCCGAGGAGGTAAAAGTCGGCCATGAGGTGCACTACAATCGCACCTACGTTGAGCTGAAAACGGGCAACGAGAGTCTGCAGGTGGGTCTGGTGGGTTCCCACGGCGTCAACGAGGGTTTCGTGATTGTACTGAATACCCATATGGGCTACATGCTGATCGAGAGTTTGCCTGTGGGCGGCAGCTGGCAGATCACACGCATTATTTTCAACATCAATGTGACGTACTATCCGCGGGAACTGATATTCTTCAGCTTGAAGAACAGTCTGTGCTGTCAGTCCATCACCGCCTATTCGGATGAAGGAGCCCGCCTGAGCCTGTACTCATTCCATTTGGATGTCATGACCGAAGGTGGGGTGCTGCTCTTGTGCAAATGTATTTTATAATTATAGAATCATCTGTTTCTTTTGCAGCATCTGACTCCGGCTTTAATCCGGACTACAAGCCGAAACCGTGCTGGCACTGCAACAAATACATAAGTTCCGTCCTCTCCCAGAGCATCTTCGCACTTGGCCTTCTGATCTTTGTGCTGTCCGTGGGATTCATTATGCTGTGGGACATTGGCCGGAACAGGTTCGTCCAGAATATCCACGATCCGGATCTGCACATAAAAACGGACAACTAGGTACTGCTGTAGCGGCCCTCGTTGGATGCACATTCTACACTCTACACTCCCCACACAGTCTCCACACAATCTGCACACACTCTACGCTACCCACATTCTGCCTAATTCACTTGCTTACAAATCTAATCATTGTGCCGGACTGTGGGGGCGCCGAGTGGTCAGTGGATCGTAATAATAATGTCATTGTCGTTGTCGTTCTGTTATTGTCCGTATTCTATTGTCATTGTTATTGCTATGGCCACCGAGAAGTCTCCACGAGAAAGTGCGAAGGAGAAACAGGCTATTTTCAGCGAAAGACAAAGACAAGTGATAACGTCAAGTTTTTTGGAGAAACGACATAAATCATATTTGCACGTGGGCCAGCAATGAGCGGGCCGGGGTGAGCCGTTGGAGGGGAGGTGCATATAGGCCTAAGAGAACCGAGAACCGATTGGAACTATTTACTCGCAGCCCGCCGCTTTGTTTTATAGCTTTGACGATAATGCTTTATCGGGCTTCGATTGGCGACAGGCAGCGGCTTGGTCCGGCCGGACAGCGACGAAAATTTCGAAAAATTTCAATTTTCAGTCTGATTTGCGCCACACCGCTGAACGGTCGGTCGGTCCTCTCTTTATCCATCCTCGCGCTGCAGCCCCGTATCTTTACCGTTTCGATTGCCCTCGACTCTGCGACCGGGACATGTTCAGGTCCCTGTGAAAAGGAACTCGAGCGACAATTTCATTAATCGTTCAAGTGCCGATAAGATTATACAAATAAATGTGCGAATAATAGAGGAAATCTACGAACTACTCACCGTAAGTACGTATTGTACCACATATACGAGTATAGTATGTGTAGTACTATTTACGTGCACCTGTCTGGCATTCCGATTGTGGGAGCCACTACTATCTGGGCAGCCCCGAGCCGGCGATTGACATTGGGGTAGTTGCGGCATGCGGAAGGGGTTTTCGTGTACGAGTATATCCTTGATACTCGTAAAGTGATTACTTTCCCAGGGATGCAGGCAGTTCTTTTTGGTGTTTCTTTCTGCAAAGGCTGAATCTTCCCGAAAAAGTATCTTCAAAATATCTAAGGTTGCTTGGAGCCTTGGCTATATTTTTTGGTTTATTGGTGGAAGAACCCTGAAATTGAAATTAACAAAATGTGATTTGTGATATGTTTTGTAATGAATCACTTTCTGAAAACTTTGCATCAAAATTTTGATAAACAAAATGATACTTTGCCAGGGGTAATCTATCCCTGACATGCGCTTATCAAGTGATCTATGTATATTTCACATATCACATGCGATATGGCTTGTAATAAATCATTTACTGAACAAGGAAATAATATCATACATTTATTTTGAGTGCAATGATGGAATTCTATTTTATCCATCCCGAGTTCATTTCACTGATTTCATTTAACGGTTTAAAGGCCCTCGTCCGACCTGATTAGGAAGTGTTACTGATATAATATCATCCAACAAATCTGGATTCTCCAAAAATTGGTGCAGACGTCGACCAGTAATCGAAATGGAAGGGAATGGTATTTGTTAGACCAGTAAACAGGTGGTTCAAATGAGAGTTATACTGGGCGAGAATTCTTCTTTCAAGTGGAATATCTAATTGTTGTGGGATCAGGATTCCCCGAAGCTAATCGAGTTGTCATTCTGATTATTCCGCAGCGGGTTCTGATGAAACTGTTGATCAGACCTCAACGAACGATTAGATATCATTAATGATACTCGTAACGGCAATTGGCCAAGGGAGTGATTTGATCAATTGAAAGGGAGGGATGCCTTTTTCCAGTCAGTCGAGTGGTCATCGTTATGCGGTAAAAATAGCCAATATCAGAACACTTCAGAGCAGAGCACGCCCCAAACCATATAGATATCAAATTAATTTCGTCACACAATCTAATCGGGCTGCTGGCCAGACCTAATATGATCTTGAGTAGGTGCCATTATCGTTAGTTAATCAATACCCATTGCCTCGAATTTCCCTATCGAGACAATTAACCAACTTTTATAGGCCCTTAACGATTGGATGTTTTCGGATCCCGAATGGAAAAGTCACGGTTACCTGGACTATTTCCAGAACATGGCGAACATCGAGCGAGGAATCTTGCCCAGAAGTCAACAATAGTCCTCCGATATTCGAGGGTGTTGCATCAGTGATTTATAAACAATTTTGTATCTGTCCATTGCAGCGCTATCACTCCTGTCCACCTGTCCGGTAGCGCAATCTTATCTGTCGCATTCAATGGTTTATTGAGCTCCACGGACAAGACAGTAGCATCGGAGTAACTCATCCCCACAGAGGCTGACAGGCAGACAAACAGAAAGACAGGCCTGAGATGACGGAAGTGCGACGTCGGGGCTCGGCTCCCCCACCGGGACACTACCTGTGCGGATTGGCCAACTGGCACCCGGCCTGGCTGCAGAAGTACGCCACCACGAAGATGTTCATGGGTGTCTACGGACTGCTAGGCACCATCCAAGCTATGTCTTACATGTATTTTATTGTTACACTGACCACGCTGGAGAAACGCTTCAAAATACCGAGCCAGACTACAGGTTCGAAGTCCTCCAGAAGAAGAACTACCCTTAAGTGGGCATACTGAATACTTTACTTGATTTTACAGGAATCATACTCAGTGGCAATGAGATCTCACAGATAATGTTGTCCCTCATCTTATCGTACATTGGCGGACAGCGTAATCGTCCGCGCTGGATTGCCTGGGGCATTGTCTTCTGCGGCCTGTCCTGCTACATTCTCGTCCTGCCACATTTCATCTATGGCGCTGGCCAGGATGTCCTCCAGTTCACCAAGGAGTACCAGGATAGCCTAATTAATAGCAACATCGGATTCTGGTATTCCCCTCCCAGTGAGTGCCCAGTAAATACCGCTCTCCCTATATAGACTATATTGTTTCTTCAACTCCACCAGAATGTCACATCAACGCAGAGCGAGCAACTGTGTGGCGTTGGAAAAAAGGAGGAGGGCTGCGATGACCTCTTCACTTATGTGCCCCTGGTCTTGATCTTCCTCTCGCAGTTCGTCCTGGGCGTGGGCAATACCCTGTACTACTCCCTTGGCCAGACCTATCTGGATGATAACACCAAGAAGACAAACACCCCGCTGATGCTCGCGGTAGCCATGTCTCTGAGAATGATTGGTCCAGTCGTTGGCTTCTTCTTTGGTGGGTAAACTTCGTGATTAACGAGCTTATGATACTGATTCCCTGTGGCTCCTCTCCTAGGTTATATCTCCCTAAACACCTTCATTGACCCCACGAAGACCCCGCTGATTGACAGCAAGGATCCGCGCTGGTTGGGAGCTTGGTGGCTCGGCTGGGTCATATTGGGCACTTTGATGTGTCTCTTCTCGGGTTTGATCGGACTCTTTCCCAAGCAGCTGCCGAAGGTTAACGATCCCATCAAGCACAACTCCCACCTGCCTCTGGCCATGCGCCACGAGGAGCTCAAGCGCGAGGAGAATCTCTCGCTGAGCAGTCGCTTCTCCTCGAATGCCGCCTTGGACAACATTGGAGCCGGGGCCGGTGCGAATGCGGATCTGCCCAAGCTGAAAGACTTTCCCCGTGCCCTGATGCGACTGTTGCGCAACAAGCTCCTGATCTTCAACATCACCTCGGCTGTCTTCTATATCCTCGGTGCCTCCGGCTTCATGACTTTCCTCACCAAATACATGGAAGTGCAGTTCCACAAGAACTCACAGAGTGCCACCATTGTGAGTCGATTAATGTCTGTAAAAATATTGAATGAATTCCAAGGTCCAAGTTCGTTTAGGTGGTGGGTCCTGTGTCCATTCTGGGCATGGTCGTTGGCCTAATTGGCTCTGGCCTTGTTCTGTCAAAGAAGAAGCCTGCAGTCAGCAAGGTGCTTATGTGGAACGTGATCGTGGGATGTGTCTACATCATGGGACAGATATCCTATGCCTTCCTCTACTGCCCAGACACCTTTTCCATGACTCATGTGGGCGGGTAAAACTGATAGTCCTGAATCTCATTGCCTATTCTAATGAATTTCGACCGACAGGCTCAACCTGACCAGTGCCTGCAACTCCAACTGCTCCTGCAGTGGTATAAGCTACACCCCAGTCTGCCACGAGCCCACGGATACCACATACTTCTCGCCTGCCATGCGGGCTGTCAGGGCTACAACGCCGAGTCGAAGCTCTACGAGAACTGCAGTTGTCTGGCAGAAGCTTGTGTAGTGCAGCCCAACGCCGCTCAGAGGCTGCTGAAACTACTGGAGCCTACCACTCAACCTCCACAACTGGACGAAACCACGGACTTCACGCTCAGTGGCAGTGGGTGCCGCTGCTCAATGATGAAAATGACTTCGAAGATCAGTTGCTGTCGCGAGTTCGTCGATCCAGTCCAGAAGAGGTTATTCGGGGCCGGGGGATCTGCATGCAAGGCTGCAACTGGAGCTTCTGGGTGTTCTCCATAACCTCGATGATCGTCAATTGGTTTGGGTCCTCTGGCCGTGTGGGAAATGTGCTGGTCAACTACCGGGCGGTGGAGTCTGGGGACAAGTCCTTTGCCCAGGGATTGGCACTGATGATGATCAGTATGTTTGCCTTGATTCCGGGTCCGATTATATTCGGGCGCCTCATCGATTCCACGTGTCTGGTGTGGACGAAGACCTGCAACGGCAATGGCAATTGCCAGCTGTACGATCAGACGCGGTTCCTGTACTCCATCAACTTTTTATCCTGCTGTAAGATCACCAGGGGCTCCCCGTTCTCAGGAACCAAACCAATCTAATTTCCTTCTCTTTGGACAGTACTCACCTTCATTGGAATGTTATTTGATTACCTGGTCTGGTACTACGGCCGGGACCTGGATATCTATGGGTGACAAGGAGGCTAAGCAGGTGGAGCGGGCCAACAGGAAGGACCAGCCCATTACTCCCCTCCTGGCCAAGAAATCCGAGAGGATCCAAGAGGAATACTAAAGCTAGAGCCAATGCGTGATACTCAATTCTGAGGAATAGGGTCCTATAGGACAGGCGAGACCGAGATCCTAACATGAAACGAAAGGTAGAAGAAATTTTTAGAGTAAGTATCGGTAGAGCGAGATCCGGCAATGCCATAATTCCACCGCCATATGTACAAACCTCTCGCTGTCGTCTAGGATATTATCCATTTTGTTTATTTTCGTGTTTAATTTTCATGTTTTTTCTACTCATTTAAGAAACACTACACCGTGAATAGCTTTATAATAAATGAAAATGAATTTATATTTACATAATATAATTTAATCAAAAAGACAAAAAGTGTTTCTAAAATGCAAGACTCGACATTATGTTTATAAACCGATTTATTTTGAAAACCTAACGCGGCTTGGAATGAATCGTTTCGCCACGTAGACATTGACCACTTCTAGCTTTACTAATGGAGAAGACTTTCGCCTGGAATATGCTGCACTAATCCAGTAACAGTAATCTATATGACTGGCTAGCTTCCGGCGGCACAGCACGTAGGAGCATCGGAAAATAGATGAAACTCTTTTCCACACCACCAGCATTTGGTAAAGTTCTAGGCGCGTTTTTTTAACGTGGTATCCCCAGTAGGCCTACTCCACAGTTCTACGAAATCTCAATTGTGTCCATATGTGTGAATAGAATGCTTCCGATCTGTTATAAAAATTAAAAACAGATATTGTGTACATTTCTGGGTTGTTTTCTGAGTTAAGATGCCGTAACCGATTACTTAATTACTGTATCCCTCAGATGCCTTGTGTCGTTGTGTGGATCCTTTGTTCCATCCATAGCTGAACACCTTTCGTGTTGCTTGTCGGTTACATTTTCCGTCGATCCATCCCTCGATAAATGTTCTATGTATGTATATGAACTCGCCATCGCATAATGTGTAAGGATGCTCCGAAGTGTATTGGTTTGTTGTTGCCTGGGTGCATCGCTTTTATCCTAAAAATGAAAAGCAGGAAATTAGGTGTACATTTAATGTATGAATGAAAATTATTTTTTTTGCGGATTCCTGAGGTAAGACACTGAAACTGAACAATTACCAATCGCTGCCTGCCTTGAGAGGTATCAAGCCGGTACAGAATTACTTCTCTTCGGTGGTACCGTACATATGTACGAGTATATGTGTTCAATACGTATGACCTATGTATTGTCTACTGGAACTGGTCGTTTGCAACGTGGTGTCTAAAAAAAGGTCAATTTATAAAAAAAAAAAAAAAAAAATATTTACAAATACAAACTAAGCTTACATTTATGCCTTTTTTTTTTGTTTTTTTTTTGTTTTTTTTTGTTTTTTTTTGTTTTTTTTTTTTTTTTTTTTTTTTTTATTTTACTTTTTTTTTTTTTTTTTTTTTTTTACACTTTATACTTAAATCTAAAAACACTTTTTGCTTAAAATTAGTTGAAAACAGAAAATTTAGATTTTATGTGTTGCCTGGATGGTGCCTATTTATATACTGATATTTTCCAGTAGTCTACAACGTATCACAAATTGACAACTGGGGTTTCATCGGGCATGGACTACTGGGTTACTTTTTGTCGAAAATATGTGGCTTTAGTTTTGTGAGAAAAGTATGCCGAGTGCTTCATGCTACATAAGCTCTTCCACTGTTTTTCGAGGAAGACAATCCGCGGGGTCCTCCAATGGATTGCGAAATATGGATTTGGTCCAGAAATATATCCGCCTTGCACTGTTAATAAAAAGTTCTCTAAGAAAAACTCGCATGTTTTTGGTTCGCTTGGTTGAGTTTACATTTGAGTTTCGTTTCTGTATAAATATTCCCGTTTTGTCGGCCCTCGTCCGACCTGATTAGGAAGTGTTACTGATATAATATCATCCAACAAATCTGGATTCTCCGAAAATTGGTGCAGACGTCGACCAGTAATCGAAATGGAAGGGAATGGTATTTGTTAGACCAGTAAACAGGTGGTTCAAATGAGAGTTATACTGGGCGAGAATTCTTCTTTCAAGTGGAATATCTAATTGTTGTGGGATCAGGATTCCCCGAAGCTAATCGAGTTGTCATTCTGATTATTCCGCAGCGGGTTCTGATGAAACTGTTGATCAGACCTCAACGAACGATTAGATATCATTAATGATACTCGTAACGGCAATTGGCCAAGGGAGTGATTTGATCAATTGAAAGGGAGGGATGCCTTTTTCCAGTACAGTCGAGTGGTCATCGTTATGCGGTAAAAATAGCCAATATCAGAAACACTTCAGAGCAGAGCACGCCCCAAACCATATAGATATCAAATTAATTTCGTCACACAATCTAATCGGGCTGCTGGCCAGACCTAATATGATCTTGAGTAGGTGCCATTATCGTTAGTTAATCAATACCCAATGCCTCGAATTTCCCTATCGAGACAATTAACCAACTTTTATAGGCCCTTAACGATTGGATGTTTTCGGATCCCGAATGGAAAAGTCACGGTTACCTGGACTATTTCCAGAACATGGCGAATATCGAGCGAGGAATCTTGCCCAGAAGTCAACAATAGTCCTCCGATATTCGAGGTCCTCCACTCATCCCCACAGAGGCTGACAGGCAGACAAACAGAAAGACAGGCCTGAGATGACGGAAGTGCGACGTCGGGGCTCGGCTCCCCCACCGGGACACTACCTGTGCGGATTGGCCAACTGGCACCCGGCCTGGCTGCAGAAGTACGCCACCACGAAGATGTTCATGGGTGTCTACGGACTGCTAGGCACCATCCAAGCTATGTCTTACATGTATTTTATTGTTACAACCTGACCACGCTGGAGAAAACGCTTCAAAATACCGAGCCAGACTACAGGTTCGAAGTCCTCCAGAAGAAGAACTACCCTTAAGTGGGCATACTGAATACTTTACTTGATTTTACAGGAATCATACTCAGTGGCAATGAGATCTCACAGATAATGTTGTCCCTCATCTTATCGTACATTGGCGGACAGCGTAATCGTCCGCGCTGGATTGCCTGGGGCATTGTCTTCTGCGGCCTGTCCTGCTACATTCTCGTCCTGCCACATTCATCTATGGCGCTGGCCAGGATGTCTTGCAGTTCACCAAGGAGTACCAGGATAGCCTAATTAATAGCACATCGGATTCTGGTATTCCCCCTCCCAGTGAGTGCCCAGTAATACCGCTCTCCCTATATAGACTATATTGTTTTCTTCAACTCCACCAGAATGTCACATCAACGCAGAGCGAGCAACTGTGTGGCGTTGGAAAAAAGGAGGAGGGCTGCGATGACCTCTTCACTTATGTGCCCCTGGTCTTGATCTTCCTCTCGCAGTTCGTCCTGGGCGTGGGCAATACCCTGTACTACTCCCTTGGCCAGACCTATCTGGATGATAACACCAAGAAGACAAACACCCCGCTGATGCTCGCGGTAGCCATGTCTCTGAGAATGATTGGTCCAGTCGTTGGCTTCTTCTTTGGTGGGTAAACTTCGTGATTAACGAGCTTATGATACTGATTCCCTGTGGCTCCTATCCTAGGTTATATCTCCCTAAACACCTTCATTGACCCCACGAAGACCCCGCTGATTGACAGCAAGGATCCGCGCTGGTTGGGAGCTGGTGGCTCGGCTGGGTCATATTGGGCACTTTGATGTGTCTCTTCTCGGGTTTGAATCGGACTCTTTCCCAAGCAGCTGCCGAAGGTTAACGATCCCATCAAGCACAACTCCCACCTGCCTCTGGCCATGCGCCACGAGGAGCTCAAGCGCGAGGAGAATCTCTCGCTGAGCAGTCGCTTCTCCTCGAATGCCGCCTTGGACAACATTGGAGCCGGGGCCGGTGCGAATGCGGATCTGCCCAAGCTGAAAGACTTTCCCCGTGCCCTGATGCGACTGTTGCGCAACAAGCTCCTGATCTTCAACATCACCTCGGCTGTCTTCTATATCCTCGGTGCCTCCGGCTTCATGACTTTCCTCACCAAATACATGGAAGTGCAGTTCCACAAGAACTCACAGAGTGCCACCATTGTGAGTCGATTAATGTCTGTAAAAATATTGAATGAATTCCAAGGTCCAAGTTCGTTTTAGGTGGTGGGTCCTGTGTCCATTCTGGGCATGGTCGTTGGCCTATTGGCTCTGGCCTTGTTCTGTCAAAGAAGAAGCCTGCAGTCAGCAAGGTGCTTATGTGGAACGTGATCGTGGGATTGTCTACATCATGGGACAGATATCCTATGCCTTCCTCTACTGCCCAGACACCTTTTCCATGACTCATGTGGGCGGGTAAACTGATAGTCCTGAATCTCATTGCCTATTCTAATGAATTTCGACCGACTGCCATGCGGGCTGTCAGGGCTACAACGCCGAGTCGAAGCTCTACGAGAACTGCAGTTGTCTGGCAGAAGCTGGTGTAGTGCAGCCAACGCCGCTCAGAGGCTGCTGAAACTACCACTTCAACCTCCACAACTGGACGAAACCACGGACTTCACGCTCAGTGGCAGTGGTTATTCGGCCGGGGATCTGCATGCAAGGCTGCAACTGGAAGCTTCTGGGTGTTCTCCATAACCTCGATGATCGTCAATTGGTTGGGTCCTCTGGCCGTGTGGGAAATGTGCTGGTCAACTACCGGGCGGTGGAGTCTGGGGACAAGTCCTTTGCCCAGGGATTGGCACTGATGATGATCAGTATGTTTGCCTTGATTCCGGGTCCGATTATATTCGGGCGGCCTCATCGATTCCACGTGTCTGGTGTGGACGAAGACCTGCAACGGCATGGCAATTGCCAGCTGTACGATCAGACGCGGTTCCGGTACTCCATCAACTTTTTATCCTGCTGTAAGATCACCAGGGGCTCCCCGTTCTCAGGAACCAAACCAATCTAATTTCCTTCTCTTTGGACAGTACTCACCTTCATTGGAATGTTATTTGATTACCTGGTCTGGTACTACGGCCGGGACCTGGATATCTATGGTGACAAGGAGGGCTAAGCAGGTGGGAGCGGCCAACAGGAAGGACCAGCCCATTACTCCCCTCCTGGGCCAAGAAATCCGAGAGGATCCAAGAGGAATACTAAAGCTAGAGCCAATGCGTGATACTCAATTCTGAGGAATAGGGTCCTATAGGACAGGCGAGAACCGAGAATCCTAACATGAAAACGAAAGGTGTAGAAGAAATTTTAGAGTAAGTATCGGTAGAGCGAGATCCGGCAATGCCATAATTCCACCGCCAT